GTGCGTGCGTGCGAGGGGTTGAGCCAGCGTGTGAGTGCCAGTGTGCAAGGGAGAGAGTGCGTGTACGTGGCACCCCGGTCGGACCCCGCTTCGCAAAAGGCTGGAATCAATTTACAATACAATACTCGGAAAAATGCGACTCGTGAGAAAAAAAAACTGCTCTTGTTCTCTCGCTCTCTGTCTCCATCTCTTCCTTTCCTCTTTCTCTCTCTTTCTTCTCTTCCTCTCTCTCTCTCTCTTCCTCTCTCTCACTCACTCTCTCACTCACTCACTCACTCACTCACTCACTCACTCAATTCTCCTCTCTCCTCTCTCTCTCTCTTCTCTCTCTCTCTCTCTCTCTCTCTCTCTCTCTCTCTCTCTCTCTCTCTCTCTCTCTCTCTCTCTCTGACATACAATTTCTAGTTTTTATGCCCCCCACGTCCCCCTACTCCCTCCCCTCCCTCAACCCTCTAAGAGTACCCACAAAGGGGATAAAACTGAAACGACCTACCTACTCCTTCCCCTCCCCTTTATCTCATATCCTTTTCCCCTTTTCCCCCTTCCTCCCTCTCCCCCTTTCCCCCTTTTCCCATTCTCCCCTTTCCCCTCTCCCTCTTTCCCCTCCTCGATCCCCTTCCCCTTCAAATAAAAATAGTTCCAACTTACACCATAAATATATTTCTCGAAAAAGGGGGGAAAGTTAGTCCCATGTCCCTCTGTTTTTTTTTTTCAATACTCGTGCCTTGTCCGTTGATGTTATCCCCCTCAATAAAATAAATAAAGAGAATTATGACATATAAACGATGAAATAATGATAGTAATAATGATGATGATGATGCAATAATAATAATAAATAATAAATAATAATAATAATAATAATAATAATAATAACAACAAAAACAATAATCACAATAACAATAACAGTAACATTAATGATACTAATAATTACAAAAAATATTCATTACGAAAACAATAAGAATGATATCAAAATGATCATCATTATAACGAAAACAACAACAAAAACCGACATATTCCAAATGACAGGAAATCGGTTTTCCAAGAAGTCGGATGATCTTGAGAATCAGGAGAAGACTCTGAGTGTTCGAAGACGGGGAATGGAAGAAGGAAGGATGGAAGGAAGGAAAGAGGGATGCGACTGAGGGATGGAGGGAAGAATAGAGGGAGGGGAGCGGAGAGCGCCGCGCGCACGCATAGATAGATAGATAGATAGATAGAGAGAGAGAGAGAGAAATAGGAAGAGAGAGAAAATAAGCATACAGAGAAAGAAGAGAGAGAGAGAGAGAGAGAGAGAGAGAGAGATGAGAGAGAGAGAGAGAGAGAGAGAGAGAGAAGAGAAGAGAGGAGAGAGAGAGAGGAGAGAGAGAGAGAGAGAGAGAGATAGAGAGAAAATAGCAGAGAAGAAAGAGAAAGAGACAAGAGAAAAAGAGACAATCCATACAAAAAAAAAAAAAGAGAAAAGACCGAGAAGACAGAGCAAGAGCCAAAAGGATAATCATTCTCTTCAAGGATCAATTATCCAGGAAGAAGGAGGCGGGTCGTGTGGTCGTACCCCCCCCCTCCTCCCCCCCCACCCCCCCCGGCGAGACGAGACGGGGTCGTGCCCACACCCGCCTTACTGCTCTCTTCTCCTTCTCTCTTTTCCCCTCTCTTTTCTTTTTCTTTTTCCTCGCTTGTTTTCTTGCTCCTTCCTCTCTCTCTCTTCTACACTTCCTCCTCCCTCCCTCCCTCTCTCTCTCTCTCTCTCTCTCTCTCTCTCTCTTCTCTCTCTCTCTCTCTCTTCTCTCTCTCTCTCTCTCTCTCTCTTCTCTCTCTTCTCTTCTTCTTCTTCTTTTCTTTCTCTTCTTTCCCTTTCTTTCTCTCTTTCCCTTTCTCTCTCTTCTTTCTTTCTCTCTCTTCTTCTCTTTCTCTTTCTTCTCTCTTCCCTCCCCCCTCCTCCCTCTTTCCCTCCGCCTCAAGCCACAAACTTAGGAAAAGGAACTCGAGGAAAATCATCCCTACCTCCCCCCACCCACCCCCCCAAAAAAACGGAAAAGAAGAAAATAAACATGGAAGGACGTGCATGAATAAAGGACAAGGCGGAAGAGGAAGAGGGACAAAAGGCAAGACGCAAAAATTAAATAAATGAGAAAATAAAGGAAATGGTAAAAAAAACACTTTTTTCCTACTTTGAGCAATCGTCAACGTGATCCGAGACGCAAAAAAAAGAATAGGAAAGAAAAAGAAAGAGAAAGAAAGAAAAAACAAAAACAAAATAAGGAGAAAATAAGATAAAGTAAAAAAATCTGAAAAGAGGATGGATAAAATACAGGAAAAAAAGAGAGAACGGAGCGAGAGAATAAGAAAATGCAGAGAGAGAAAATAGGATAAAAGGTATGGTAAGAGAGAAGAGAGCGCGACAGGTTCATGAGCTCCGCAAAAATTACAAGCTCACCGCTCACTGCAACCTCTCCCTCCCTTCCCTCCTTTTTCCCCCACCCACTCCCCCCTTCCCCTCTTCCCTACTCCCCACCGCCGTCAGGTCGAGGAACAAAACTGCATTCTGCCATAGATGCCATCACGGTATTCACGTTTGGGCGTTGATCACGTGACTTACCGATTGGTCACGTGACTTACCTGTTGGTCACGTGAGCTGTGTGTGTCACGTGACCTGCCATAAAGTGATAAGCGATGGGTGATAGACGGAGTGAGAGAGAGAGAGAGAGAGAGAGAGAGAGAGAGAGAGAGAGAGAGAGAGAGAGAAGAGAGAGAGAGAGAGAGAGAGAGAGAGAGAGAGAGGAGAGAGAGAGGAGAAGAGAGAAGAGAGAGAGAAAGAGAGAGAGAGAGAAGAAGAAGAAGAAAGAGAAGAGAGAAGAAAGAGAGGAAAGAGAAGAGAGATAAGAAGAAATAAAGAAAGTTCTCTTACCGATGACATCATCTTTCAATTATTTCTCTGTCGTGTTTACGTACAAGAATAAGTGGATAAACAGGACCCGAGTAACAAGTGAGAAGGAGATAGATGGAGAAAAGAAGATAATTAGATAAAGAAAAATGGCCAAGGGAAAAGGGTGATAATCACATTAACGAAAGAAAGGGAGCCAGTTTTTTTGTTTGTTTGTTTGTTTTCGACATAAAGATGCACTTGACAAATAAATGATGAATAATGACAGGTTGACAGGTTGATGGCGATAATCATCTGGTAATTGACAGCTTGGTGATGATAATTATTTGGCAACTGACACATTTTGGGATAATAATTAAATACAATGAGGATACGTGGGTTTCTTACAATCAGGTTAAATCACCAGTCAATCACACGTGTACATTCTGGCTTCGGTGAAAAAATAAAATAAAATGAAAGAAGAAATACAAATAAACGTAATAGAGAAAGGGGGAAGAGGAAGAAATGATAATGGTAAGGGTGGGGGGAGATACGATGAACAAGAAGAAAAGAAGGAAAGAGAAAAAAAATATATAAAAAAGAGAAGCTGAACGGAGAAGAAAGAAAGAAGGAAAAGAACAGAAACAATGAAAAAAAAAATTAATAAAATAAAAAAATAAACGAAGGAAAATCCAAAAAATAAAAACGAAAGGGAGACAGAAAGACCACGAAAGAAGACGCACCAAAGAAAAGGGAAACACGAGAAATGCGGACAGGAAGAGAGGAAGAGAAACAGAAGTGCTCGGAACGTGGAGGTCGGTCGAGGCACCAGAATTAGAAGCCAAGGAGAGGGAGAGACGGAGGGAGGGAGGGAGAGAGGGAGAGGGAGAATAAGAGGGAGATAGAGATAGATAGAGAGAGGGGGGGGGGAAGGAGAGAGGGGGGGAGGGAGAAGAAGAGAGAAGAGGAAGAGAGGAAGAGAGGAGAGAGGAAGAGAGAGAGAGAGAGAGAGAGAGAGAGAGAGAGAGAGAGAGAGAGAGAGAGAGAGAGAGAGAGAGAGAGAGAGAGAGAGAGAGAGAGAGAGAGAGAGAGAGAAGAATGTGAAGTTAAGTTGATTTACATACCTTAGATCAGCAAGACAGAACTTGAAGGATACGAACCGGAGAGAGAGAGAAAAGAGGGCGATAAAAGAGGTAAGTAGGAAAATGGAAGAAACGGAGAGAAGACGAAAAAAACATGGGGAAAGAAGGAAGAGGAGAGACAGGAAAGGGAAAGAAGGAAGAGGAGAGAAATTAAAAGAAAAGGAGATAGAAGAAAGGAAAGAGAAGAATGAGGAGAGTGTAGGAAAGGGATGAAAGAAGGCGGCAAAAGGAAAGTGGAATAACAGTGAAGGGGAATAAGGTGAGAATAGAAAAAGGAAAAATGAGAACAGAAGAGGAAGAGGAGGAGGAGGGAGGAGAGGAGGAGGAGGAGGAGGAGGGGAGGAGGAGGGAGGGGGAGGAGGAGGAGAGGAGGAGGAGGGGAGGGGAGGGGGAGGGGGGCGTCCGAGGTGGGCTATGAAGCGCTAATATAGAGTAAAACCAAAGCAAGTCAGCATGTAGGGTAGGAAATCTTGGCAGGCGTGGATAACCCGGCGGAGGGAGGGGGGAGGGGAGGGGGGGAGGAAGGGGGAAGAGAGAAAGAGAGAGAGAAATAAAAGGGCGTTGAAAGAAAGAGAAAAGCAGAGACGGGGAGAGTGGGAGAGCAAAAAAAAAGGGAAGAGGGGAAAGAATGGAGAAACGAAGCCATATATAATGAAAAAAAAAAATCGAACATATAACCTAGGTACGGAAGCACGCTCATACATGGCTAATAACAACCCATGATTCTCTCTCTCTCTCTCTCTCTTCTCTCTCTCTCTTCTCTCTCTCCTCTCCTCTCCTCTTCTCCTCTCTCTCTCTTCTCTCTCCTCTCTTCTCTCTCTCTCTCTCTCGCTTTCTTTTCCAAACACACACACAACACACCACACACACACACCACACACACAACACAAACACACACACACACATTCAAAATTTTCTTCCAATCAATAATGCTTATCAAAGTGTCCTTAGATATAACGACGAGAACTATGCAGTACCAATATATAGGATATACTTACCCCTGTGCCTAAGACCTTGAGCAATTCGAAATGGGCCATGTCGACTCTCCCTTTTCCCGTGAGGTTAACTGCAAAAGACAAAAAAATCGTTAATTTTCAAATTTTGGGGAGATAACTACATTATTTTCTTATAATCACAATTATCAATCTGTTCTGTAATACATCAAAAAAAAATAATCAAATTAGCAGATACAGAGATGGGAATAATATCGAGAATATATGATAAATAAGGGAAATATAAAAGAAATATTAGCTAGGCCTGCTGTGGGATCTGGACGCGACCTTCTCGATGGCGCGGGCGAGGTCAAAAGTGCTACGTCATGTCCCTCGCCTAACGGGTCACGTGTGGGATCCTTCGGCCAAAATAGAGTGACAGAGTGAGAGAAAGAGTGAGTGAGTGAGTGAGTGAGTGAGTGAGTGATGAATGAGTGCGTGAGTGAGTGCGTGAGTGAGTGCGTGAGGGAGTGTGAGTGTGAGTGTGTGTGAGTGCGAGTGTGTGTGAGTGAGTGAGTTGTGTGTGAGTGTACGTGTGTGGGGCGGGGGTTGTGTGTGTGTGTGTGTGTGTGTGTGTGTGTGTGTGTGTGTGTGTGTGTGTGTGTGTGTGTGTGTGTGTGTGTGTGTGTGTGTGTGTGTGTGAGAAAGTGAAGGAATGATTGAGAGATAGAGACAGACAGACAGACAGACAGACACACACACACACACACACACACACACACACACACACACACACACACACACAGAAAGAAAAAAAAAAGAAGAGAGAGAGAGAGAGAGAGAGAGAGAGAGAGAGAGAGAGAGAGAGAGAGAGAGAGAGAGAGAGACGAGAGACAGACAGAGAGAAAATCGCCACTGAAAATCTACGGGACTTCCCCGCCGTGTTTCACGACACCGCTTTTTTTTTCTCTCTCTCTGAATATTCAAGTCTCGAACTTGATTTTTTTAAGGGGGGGGGGGGGGTAATGTAAATTCGGTGGGTTCTAAATAAGTGATTAAATGCAACGAAATGCAGATAACATGTATACACACAAAACCTCACCTGCACACACAAAAACATTAACATGTGCACACACACGGACTGAATTCCCAAATTTAATAAGACAAGTTGCTATGCAGCGAGACCCGTGCTCGGCCGAGGACACCGTTCCCAGCCCAATACCCCCCTCCCCCTCCCTCCTTCCCTTCCCGCCCTCTCCGCCCTCTCCGCCTCCTTTCCTCCGTCTCCTTATCTTCTCTCCCCCTCCACTTTCCTCTCCTCCGCCTCCTACTCCTCCCCTCCCATCTTCTTCTCCCTTTTCCACCTCCTTTCCTGCTCTCCTCCGCCTCTCCTCCTCCCGTCTCCTTATCTTCTTCTCCCCCTCCACTTCCCTCCTCCGCCTTCTCCCCCTCCCCTCCCTATCTTCTTCTCCCCTCCACCTCCTTTCCTCCTCTCCTCCTCCTCCTTCACGTCCTTCTTTTTCTCCTCCTCCTCCTCCTCTATCTCCTCGTTCTTCACTCCAAACCCAGTGTGTAAGTGGAACACCAAAGTGTGAACTGATGACAGGGAGAAGATCGAGAGAAGATAAGAAGCAGAAGAGAATAGAAGAGAAAACGGAGCGAAAAAAGAAGAGCGTGGGAGCAGAGAGAAGTGAGAGGGAGAGAGGAGAGAATGCAGAAGATAGTGAGCGAGAGCGGAAGAAGAGAGAAATAGTGAGATGAGAAAGAGGAGAGAGGGAGGAAGAAAGAGAGGAGAGAGAAGAGAAGAGAGAGAAAAGAGAGAGAGAGAAGGGAGAGAGAGAGAGAGAGAGAGAGAGAGAGAGAGAGAGAGAGAGAGAGAGAGAGAGAGAGAGAGAGAGAGAGAGAGAGAGAGAGAGAGAAGAAGAGAGAGAGAGAGAGAGAGAGAGAAAGAAGAGAGAGAAGAGAGAGAGAGAGAGAGAGAGAGAGAGAGAAGAGAGAGAGAGAGAGAGAGAGAGAGAGAGAGAGAGAGAGAAGAGAGGAGAGAGCTTGATCATGCAGAGCCTCACGCCGGCCCTCACTGGGTCACCTCCACACCGAGCACCTGCGTTAGGGACGTCTCGCGCTCGGCACTCCGTCAAGGAACAATCGTGCTCACTCTTCTCCCTCTCCTCCTCCTCCGTTTTACTCTCTCCTTCTCCTTCGTTTCAACTCTCTTCTTCTCTCCTTCTCTGTCTCTGTCTACTCTCACTCTGTCTCTTTTCTTCTTCATTTCTTCCCCTTCATCTCCCTTCTCTTCCCCCCCCTCCTCCTCCTCCCTTGCCTCCAATCTTGTCATGCTAGTCACCCCCCCTCTCCTCTGCCCCTCCCCTCCCCCCTCCCCTCCGCCCAGCCCTCCTCCCCCCCCCCAGCCCGCCCCTCCCGCAAGTTGTCGCTTCCCTTCACTTTCCATACGCAATCCACAGCTCAGGCCGGCGACACAGACAAAGCTTCTGTCACTTTCTAACAGCTGGCTGACGTTACAGACCGTGACGCTGTTGTTATTTTCACCGAAAGAAGATAAGAAATGGAAGCAAATCTCAACACGGAAGGGTTAAGACGCTCTATGCAGTTTATCTAGGGCGCGGGTGTCCTCCGAGCAAGTGAGGCAGATACGTAAACACACTTCAGACTGGTATACACACGCCCGCGCGCTCTAACACACACACACACACACATAGACACACACACACATAGACACACAGACCCACACAAACACACACACACACACCACACACACACACACACACACACTCAAACAAACCACAAACAACCAAACACCACCCCCACCAAACTCGACCACCTGATCCTAAAACAAACACAAAAAATAGGTGAATCCGCCGCCCCACCCTCACCTAAAATCCTACCCCCCCCCCCCCCACCTCCACCCCAAGCACCTAGCAAGCACCGTTCATTAAGAGGCGTCACCTTCGCCCGTGGCAGGTGCACAACCCCGGAGCTTAAATACACACCTTGACCTATATCACCGGGAGATAATTTTCCTGGCTGGGGTTTGGGTGTCATCCGTTGCGTGCGATTGTCTTAATTGGTCTGTCGTTGTTTGGGCACCGCTGTTGTTGTTGTAGTTGTTGTTGTTCCTGTTGTTGTTGTTGCTGTTGTTTTGTTTTATTTGTTGTTGCTTTTTAATAAACATATTTTTGTAGTGTAATTGTTTGTGCTGCTTAGGTGGTGTTGTTGATATTGCTATTTGTTGTTGTTACGATTAGATTAGGTGTTTGCTATCGTGAATATCTCGTGTCTGTGGCAGAAGCTGAGGATTATTTCCAACTTAATAGATTGTCATTCTTCGAAGTCGTGTCATTTCCTCCATTATCCTGTCACGAGGGACGAGGCGAGAGAGAGAGAGAGACAGGTGGATGTGAACTACATTCGGATGAGGCATTGTGGGCGTGAAGACGTAGGTGGCATGGCGTGGGCGAGGAGACGCGACGGGTGAGGGTTGGATGGCGTGGGCGGATACGTCGAGCGAATCCATGGGCGTGCGAGAGGGCGCCTGAGAGAAGAAAGTCACCTACAGAGCCCGGGTGTCTGGCGTTGCCGGACCCTGAACCAGCCAACCTCTGCCATCCAGGTGAAAGTAAAACCAAGTACCATGAGCCACCATTGTTCCCCCCCCTCGTCTCTACCCCGTCCCCCCCCCCACCCACCACCTCCTCTCGTTTCTCTTCCCCTTCTCTTTCGTTTTCTCCTCCTTCCGTTTGGCACTCTTTTTTTTGATGTAGCTCTTCTTCTCCACCTCCTCCTCCTCTTCCTCCACCACCAACACCACCACCTCTTTCCCCTTCTACTCCACCATCTCCACTTCTTCCCCCACCCTCTTACTCAACACCACCTCCCCTCCAACTCCACTCCCCCACCACCACCACCACCCCCCCTCCACCTCCCCCTCCAACTCATCACCACCACCACCTCCCCCTCCTACTCCACCACCTCCGCCTCCGCCTCCTTCCTCTCGGCAAAGTCCCCCAGCTCCCGGAATCATCCAGATCTTTCCAAACAGCGAGCGAGAAAATGACCCCCGCTCTGTGGCGATCTCCCGTCCCTTCTGTCACCCTATCTCCCCCGATCGATAAGAAAACACGTGCAGTTGAAGACACTCGTCGGGAGTTCAGGCGTTTAAATTGTGTTTATTATACAATCCGTTTAAAAAAAAATCTTATATTCGATTTTCTGTTTTTTTAATGTTTTTTTTTTTTTATTTTTGAGTTGTATTTTTTTTTTTGGGGGGGAGGGGGGGGTGCGGTATATGTAATCGTGGGGGGGGGGGGTTGTTACGAAAAGACGAGTCGATGTTGATACAGTTTTGTGGACGGACTAATACTAAGCACACTTGGTTCGAGCAAGCGTGCACAGCTGGATACTTGCACTTGCCTTCCTTCTCCCTTTCCTGCTCCCCCTTTCCTTCATTTAATTCTTTCTTTCGCCCCCTTCACACTCTTTCCATCCTTCTTCCCTCTTCCCTCCCTACCGTTTCTTCTACTTCTCCTCCCCATCTAGTCCTTCCCCTCCCCATTCTCCTCCTAACCCCTTCTATCCCTCTCCCTCGTCCTTGTCCTTCTCCCTCCCCTTCCTCCTTCCTCTCCTTCGTCCTCCCTCCATCCCTGCAACGCCCCTCGCCGAGAGAAACTGCCCGGCAAGAGTCAAGGTTCCCATCTCTCTCTTTATATGGTCGTTCTGTCACATGACCTTCCATCGCTATGCCTCGCCACGTTCATCGCAGTGGCTGCCTGTTACGTCATTTTCTTCGTCACTCGTCTGTGCTCTCTCTTGTTTATTCTCGTGTTCTCTCTTGTTTATCCTCGTAAGGTATTATCAATTTTCTTTTATTTCTGATTTCCCCCTTATTCTCGTTCTTCTTTTATTCTCCTTTTACAAACTTGAATACGTCTTTCGTTACTTTCAAATTCCGTGGAATGTCTCTTGTTTATTTTTGTAAATATTTGTTTACCTCTTTCCATCCCTTTTCCCATCCATCGTACGTCCGTGCATGGGTAATTAAGTAGGAGAAAAGATAGGTTAGAGGAAGGAAGGAAGGAAATAGGGCACGAAATGTAAACAATCATGAGGAGGAAGAGGT